GGCCCATTAACACAAGACCCTGAATGACAGACACCCAGTGCTTTAGTGAGGCTGAATCAGTACCCTGAATATCAGTGGAACAGGTCAGTTCTTTACTGGCACAAGGAGCATCCAGTTTCCTTTTCGTTGGCTTTTTTTTTTAAGATGTTAGTTTAGAGAATCATTACAGCCAAATCCGTACTTCTCATGTTGAGTAGTATTTATTTTTAAACCAAGGCTGCATTTGGTGGTGAAGTCCAGTGCACATTTAAAACATAACTTCCTAAATATGAGCTGTCTTATGTTTCCGCTGTTAAAATCAGACTTTCAGTAAGAGGTCAGACTGTGATTCTTCTTCTAATCTTATAGTCAGGTGACATTTTTGTATACTTAATGGAATTATTTCTGATTTTCCAGTAGATAAATAAAACAGAAGGTCACCATAAATATTTATGATCACTATTGTCATTTGCCTAACTGCATTCTTGAAGAATTTTCAGCACTACTTGTTAAACTAGTATTAATTTTCTTCACTTGCTTAGTGAGTGTATAAGATTTATAGAGCTTTCAGTGTGTGATTATTGTCAGTAACAAAATCAGAATCATTAATGGAGGTAAAATTAAACATCTGAACTCTTCACAATTCTCCCTCTTTTTACAAGAATGAAACTGACATTTTGCAGCTGTCATAGTTCAAAAGATGTTAAGCTGTCATATTTACTTACAAATTCCCACTTATGCTATTGTACTGTGCGAAGCATAGCAATGCTCTTCTTTTGGCTATGAAGTTATTTCTTTGGAAATCCTGTGGGCTTGCCTTTCGCAACAGGCAGGAATATGCTGGAAAATCCTGAGCTGCACGTGCTGCTGTCACAGACATCTTTTCAATAAAAATCCTTTCTTAGGAGTTTTCTTCCTGAGAAGCTGAGAGGCTTCAGGAACAAAATGTAAACAATGGTTATCTGCTGCTGTGGAATGCAACAGGTGCATCTGTGATTGGCCCATATTAGATGTTTACAATTAATGGCCAATCACAGCCCTGTTAGCTTGGACTCTCTGTCCGAGACACAAACCTTTATTATTCATTCCTTTCTATTCTTAGCTTAGCTAGCCTTCTGAGATGAAACTTTTCCTTCTATACTTTTAAGTATAGTTTTAGTGTAATGTATACTATAAAATAATAAATCAAGCCTTCTGAACATGGAGTCAACATTCTTGTCTCTTCCCTCACCTGAAAACCCCTGTGAACACCGTCACACACTGCTGAGTGTTTTGTCCTCAGCCCAGCTCCTGCAGAGCTCAGCCTGTTCCTGTGGCCTTCCTGGGTAAACACGGCTGTGGTCGCGCAAGGGACGTTTGGCCTCCACATGTAGCCCCACATTTCTCTTCACAGAGAAAAGTAAGGCACAATTCTTCCCAAGAATATTTCTGGGATTCACATTCTCTGAACCTCAGAGAAAGAACACACAGTTCTTATCGTTTGCTGTGCCTGTGTTTGTGCAAAAGTAGAATATAACATGGAGATTGTTTACCCAAAGTCATGGTGTTTTGTTTCCTTGGCCTATCAGGGCCTATTGTGGGTGTGTGTCGTGACTGTCGGCTGACAGTCATGAGGTTCAGTGCAGTGTGTGCAGGGTTGAGTGCCTGGCAGATTCAGTTTCAGATGTATAGAATAATTTACTATAATAAAGTAATTAATTAGCCTTCTGATATCCACAGAGTCCTCCTCATCATTCTCTCCCCTTGTCGGGGCCATCACAGCATTGCTATATCTGCGTCCTCCCACGCGCTGCACCAGGGCCTGGGCCAGCCCTCAGCAGCTCAGCCAGCTCAGGGACTGGCACTGGGGCTGGCTGCAGACAGAGCCTCTCCCAGGAGAGCCTGCCAGGAAGAGGAGCTTGGAGAGCAGCTGGAAGGTGACTGTAGAGCTGAGGAGGTCGTAGGTTGACCGCACATGGCGGGTTGAGGCGACTCTGGCATTTTGGGATCTCCCTGACCCTGGCTGCCATGGGTATCTGAGACAGAGAAGTCCAATCAAGCATGACCTGTCCAGGCCCCTCAGGCAGGTTCCAGAGCTGCAAGCTACCTTATCAAGCTCAGCTCTTAGTGAGATCTGCTTTTTAGATTTCAGCCCTTTGCTTGCTAAGTGCCTTGGGCAGACACAGGGAGAGAGAGGAGAAGGCTGTATAAGGTTCCACAGGGATGTCTTTATTGAAATGAAGGTCTCAGGGACAGCTCTTCTGCTGAACTGGGCAAAAGTAGCTCTTTATACAGGGTACAGAAGTTTTGGGAATTGTCCAATAGCAAGGGTCCGAAGGAAAGTGACCTATAATCTTACAGAGAGATAAGCCAGGGTCTGAAGGCAGGAGAGGAACTTCTAAGGTCCAGCCATCATGACTTGGCATTTCCCATCTTAGGCTGCTAACCACCAGGAAGGCCTTGCAGGCCCCGCGCCTGCTACAGCGGGTACCTGGCAGGCTGGTGACAAGAGTCTGATAAAACTGAAATACAAAGTTACAAACAACACATTCATGGCTACAGAAGATTCAAAATACATAAAGGGAAATATTTTTCCACAGCCATGGAGCCTATGGGGTGCAATCAATGTGGGGCACTGCTGTCTTTGCAGCAGCGTGTGCCTTGCTTGCTCACCGAACAATGTCCTGCAGGCTGCACAGTGGCCAAGGTTCTAATGAATTTCAGCTCCGCTCCTCTGTTTCTTTGATGGGCTTAGGTATCCAGGACATGGTTTTTATATTGTGTACATTGGATCTAGGAGCTCATGTGGTTACACTTGGAGAGTGGTGGATGAGGGAGCAGGGGACTCAGGATGTCCTGTAAAACCATGAAGAACAAGGTGAAGAGGTAAAAGCCAGCTTGTAAGGCAACAGTCACATGCTATAGAACTAGTAGTGAAATCTTCAGTCCCAGTAGCCTTCTAAACACACAAGTTGTGTCTTCCTCCTTGATTTTTTTCTCCTGTTTTTGCAACATCTGTGAGGTTAGTTTTGGCCTGTTTTGGTCCTTTGCAATGCACCACATGTAATCCCACACTATTTTCTGGTAGTTATGAAATTTCCCAATTTTTTTTTTCTTTCTCCCTTTCAATTTCATTTCCTTTGATGGTATCTCTGTTCCAGAGTTTTTGTAAGTCCTTCTTTTCTGTTTTGGCCTTCAGCGGGGATCAATTTTGGCAAGCTTTGGCGCATGTCCCTGCACTTGTTGGCATACAGGCCTTTTGATGGCTTTTGACTTTGGCAAAGATTTTTTTTTTTTTTACGTATCCATGCCATGTTCCTCTTATCTTCTCATCCAAGTTGTGTTTCCCTCTTTGATTTTTTCCCCTGCTTTTGCAACATCCGTGAGCTTACTTTTGGCCTCTTTTGGTCCTTTGCACTGCACCTGAAATAATCCCAGTCCATTTTCTTGCAGTCACAAAGTCTTGATTTTCTGGATTTTTGTTTTTTTTTTTTTAATTGCATTCCATTTGATCCTATCTCCTTTCCAGAGTGTTTGTAAGGCTTTCTTTTCAGTTTCGTAAGATTTCGTTTCCCTTCCTAAAAGGAAATCAAATTTTCTTTTCTTTCTTGTAAGAAAGGAAATGTTAAAATCCTCCTTTCTCATTTTGTTATATTCCCTTCTTAATATATATTTTGTAATGCCATAACCTGTATGTGTTCTGGAAGGAATTGTAACTGGCTACTTTTACAGCCTGACCTTTTCCAGTGTTTCATGCTTTTCAATTTGCTTTTCTGATTTAATGTAGATGAAGGTTTTCTTTCAGTTTCTGCTTAGGTAGAAAGTTATACTGAAAGGTATACTTCAGCTACACTAATACTTTTGCAATGGTTTTAATGTTAAAGCCAGCATTGCATATGTGTTTCTCTTTTTGAAGCTGGGTTCTGCAGGCATAAGGGTGTCAATCCCCACCTCAACATCATAGAACCGCTTCCCCTAAGCTTGGCCACAATCATATCCTGACTTGCTATGCTCTCTACTGATCTTGGACCAGTGCAGAGTCACTGGCTTGTCCTTAGATCTGCCTCATCACCACAAACCTTCCTGCTAGTCTGGATTCTGAGCTGTCCCCAGATCACCCCTCCTATGTCCTGGGTCGCAGGGTCCTTGCCCCATGGTCAGATAGATAATGTTTTTATCCTTGTTCCTCTGGGACCTGTTTCCTGATGAAGAGTTGTGTAAATGCAGTCATGGTGTCTGTTAGGGCATGGGAAAAGGGAAATGAAGGAACTCTATCTGATATCAGTGCCTCCTCTCAAGAGCCATCATCATTCATCCATCTCCTCACTGCCCGACACACATAGGGAACACAGCAGCTGAGTAAATCCCGTGGCAGGAAGTCTTTATTGGAAGATATTTTAAGACCACACAAAGAACTGAGTGCTGCAGCTTGGAGCTGAGTTGAAAGGCGTGCTGTATTAGTGCTGCTCTAGAACAGACTAGATTTCCATGGGAGAAAGAGACAAAAATCCCCCTTACCTCACCGACCGAATGTAACACAACTGGAGGTTTACACAGAATGCTCTGGAATACCTTAACATCACTTAACCAGCCACTAAAATGGACAAGCAGTTGGTGAACAAACTGGGACACTGGGGTAGCACCTGTCAGAAGCGATTTCAAACAATGTTTGTTTTTTAGTAACATCCAGGTTCCAGGTTAGCTCAGCATCCTATCGACCACAGAGGAACACCTTTACTGCCACGTGTGCAGCAACCCGATGCGGTTGCAGTCCAACGCCTTTTTCTCGCAGTTCCCCGGAAGGCCAAAGAGCCGGCTCACACCTCCCCCAGGCCCTGTGGGGGTGGGAGGAAGGCGGGCGGGGGAGGTCGCGGGCCGCTGGCGGGGCGGGCCGCGGGCAGCCCGGCACGGCGGTGCCCCGGCCGCTGCCCCAGGCGCTCGGACGGCCCGGGGTGCCCGCGGCCCGAGCGGCGCTGCCGGAGCGGAGCGCACGGAAGGCGGCGAGGCCGGAAGGGGCGGGCGTGTCTCCCGGGTGACGGGGCCGAGATGGCGGCGCGCGAGGCGGCGGCGGAGCGGCGCGGGCCCGGCTCTGGATGAGGGGCGGCCGCAGGCTGCGGGAGCGGCCGCCTCGGCCCCTGGAGCCCCGCGACCCCCGGCGAGGCCTCCCCGCCGGGGCAGGTAAGCGGGAGGGGTCGGTTCCTGCGCTGCCGAGTGCCGCTTCCGCGTTGCTGGGCAGGGGCCCGGTCGCGGAGCCTTCGCTCCCGGGGCAGAGCTGCCCGCGCGGTTCTCCCGCAGCAGCGCCGCCGCCCCGCTCTGCCCCGTGCTCGGGGCGCCCCGGCCCCACGGCCCTCGCCCAGCGGCGGGGCTGCTTGGCCAGCCCGGGAGCGCCGGGCCTGCGGCCTCTGCCCGACCGGTCGGGGCCTCTTCCGGGGCGAAGGTGGGGGAATCTCATGGGCTGCGAAGAGCACGATGTGGCAGACAGGCAGCGTGTGGGGACAGAGGGGCTTCGCACCCTGTGGGAAAGGGCGAGGGTACACCCTGTCAGAACTCGTGGTGGGACGGCGTTGCTGGGGTTACCTGCTGTTTATGCTGACGAGCAAATTTAATAATACATAGAGTGAAAATTCCTTAGCATGCTTTTAAGTTCTTTAGAATCTCTAACAGCTCACAGAGAAATTAAGTGCTACTATTTGGTTTCAGGGCTGTTTCTAATAATATTCAAGACTCGGCTGGTCTGTAGAATGGTAGGGCACTGCTCTTTGGTCATGAATTCACAGTGTAAGTGTCTGAGTTGCATCTCTAATGAAAAATGGCACAGCTTGCTGCTTTATAGCTCTGTGGAGCTGTATTTCTGTGGAGCTTTATTTCTGTGGAAATACACATGTGCCCTGCAGAAACTTCTTTAGGCCGTCTTGTAGTGTTGTTGTTTGTAAATAGCTGGTGCTCGTCAAGACAAGCATTGCAAGATGACTTTGTAGTAATAACAACGAGTGTGTTAATTTGTTGTCTCTGGCATTGCACATAGTTACAGAAAACTTAGGTCCGGGATGGCAAATAAGGAGTGGAACAGAACTGGGGTCTCTTAAACTCTGGTTCTGTGTTCTGAGAACTTCAGTTTTGTGAAGTGAGTTACATGAATTAGGGCATTATGTAAAAGACTTGTTGCAAAATTATGAAGTGAATGAAGTTATAATGTAGTCTCACAAGATTGTGTTACCTCAAGCTGTATTCTGTATGCTGGTTTTCACAAGACAGTGGCATATACAGGTAAGGAATTGTCAAAGAATAATGGTAGACATAAACTTTCTATCTTAACTAATATTGCATTGAAGAGTATAATTTATTGTAATTCGAGACATAAAGCTTCAGGAGTTCACATTAGTGAGGTTGTAGCTATATTCAGTTTCTTGGAGAGGACCTTTCAAAAAATTCTATCCTTACCACTGAAACTTTGCTAGCGTATTGTCACCAGCTGTTCTGGTGACAACACAAAAGCACTATTGAACCATGGATTTTTGGTGCTGACAAATGTAAATACTCAAGGCCATGTTAGTCTTTAGTCCTAGGAAATGAACTTCTTGTTTTGCTTTAGGAGGGTGACGCATTTCTCGTGTCTCCTTATGTAAATTGGAGGGGAGCCTTTCAGTTTCAGACAAGTTATTTTAAGCATCATTGTCTGGTTATTTAGCTGTGTTTAATATGTGCTAAAATCACTGATTCCAAGGTGTGTTTGTGTTTACATTCCAGAGTTACAAGTGACCTGATCTGAAAGAAAGCTGATGTGGCAGTAGAATATGAGTTCACTAGGAGGAAAGAAGTTTCTAAAATAATTTTAGTGTCCCAAAGTGACTTTATTTTAGAACTGACTCTGTCTGTAGAGATCCTGTTTAAGTGGTATTTGTGCATACAGTTAGATATGAAAGAGGAAGTGTTTCTCCAGGTGTGTTGTACAGTGATAAACAGTGAGAGTCTTGCTTGTTGCACCATAGTTGATGAACCAGTCCTCCTGAGGGTGCTGGCTACGTTCAGTGAAGTCAGAGGTGCCAGGAGTTCTAATGAGGCTGCTGTTGCAAGCTGTAAGCAAAGTAAAAATGTTCAATAAGATTCTGAACTTTGCCTCCCTTCATTCTGTTTCCTTTATGGGTCCCTATAATGTTTGAGTTTCCTCATTCTTCTGACTTGGTTCTAAAGTGTGTAACATCTCATGGCTGTTGTCTTTTAGTCCTTTCTGGGCCCATGTTCCATGTGAACACTTGTGACTTCTTACCAGTGGAAGACAGTATGAGATGCACAAGTCAAACTCCAGCTAAATTTGGTGTCTGTTACAGAATTGCTGAGTTGACCATGAGTATTAAATTGATTAGGATTAATGTCTTGATTTATTTGTTGTTTTGGAAGTTCAGTTAACCCTAAGTCTCATAAATATAACAATGCAATTCCAGTAGTGGGAGAAGGAAATCTATCCTGTTTTATAGATGGAAAGTTGAGGCATGAGGTGTGATACACAGAAGGATGCATCAGGCTGGCAGACAACCCTTACCAGATTTTCTGAATTTTAATCCAGTATTTCACATTTGCCTCTATCTGTTAAGAAATGTTTTAGGATTCTTGATGTAGCGCTGCAACTTTGCATTATGTGTCTCTCATCCTGTGTTATAATTGACTGCTGATACAGTTGTGGTTCCTTTTGGGATTGTTTATCAAGGAAAGGCTTAAGAAAAGAAAGGCTGTTGTGGCCTGCCATTTAGCATTATACTGTTCTGTATTTTTCCCAGGAGAAAGAGAAGGTACATGGCTGTGCTTCTTTCCAATGTCTGAGAAAGATGGACAAGAAGAGGATGAAAAAGTTGTTTCAGTTCAGTTTAGTATAATGGTATCATGTGAATTCAGTTTGCAGTGAACTGAGGAAAATTTGGGTTCTGTATTCATACAACTACTTCCGAATATAAAATGGTTTAGCTTGAGAAATTTAATTAACATAAAAAAACTTCCAAGCACAAAAGAACCCAACCCCAGAAGGCACCAAACAAAACTCAAAACCTTCAACTTTTCAGGTAGTGCTGTTCTTAGAGCAACAATGCTCACATTTCAAGTGCTGTTTCTGACAAAGGGGAAAAGGCTTGACTTTTCCTTACCTTGAGACAATAATTGGTTCAAGATTGTGTTTAAAATTAATTTATAAAAAATAGTATTAATTGAATAAATACATATATATGACTTCATACCATAAATAGCAGTATAAAAAGCAGGTACATTGAGGAAAGTTCTTTTTAAAGGTAAATGATTGCTAACACTAGAATGGCTGGCTGATAGCATATTGTTGACAAAACTGGCTGTGCATCTGACAGTTTATAGTGTAGGGAGCTTAACTGGGAAGACTGCAGTCAATGCTCAGAAAAGAGGTGGGCAAAACAGTACTTACTATGTTAAATCACAAACAAAACAAACTTACTATCTTAAATCACAAATGGTTGGAAGAGACCTCCAAGGTGATCAAGTCCAGCCTTTGAAGGGCCTAGTTCTAGCTCAGCTGAAATGAAATCTCTATCACAAATATGTTAACTGGCCATGTGTCTCATTGTAACTCTGAAATCTTTGCCTGACACATGGAAGGTGGAGAGGTGCAAGTTATCTGATTGTCAGGGGCATAATGAGAGATGTTGAGCTCTGCCAGATGGGCATGCTGGTGGTACTGGAAATATAGTCACTCTTACCTGGGAATGACCTGGGAAATGGATTAACTTTTGGTGATTAGTTTTTGTGGACTTCACAAGTCCACTGACTCTGCAAGCCAGAGTTCTTGTGGATTGTGCTTTTTTTCAATTGGTTAACTTTATATTGAAAACTCAATACAGGATACAGTTCAATATATGAAAAAATAGTGAGTTGAAAACCGGGTTCATTTATATGTACACATTTAAATATATGTATTGGTAAGTGACACACTTGAACATTGTTCTGGTTTTAGTTTTTTGTTCTAGTTTTAGTTTTCTGGTTTTAATAATCTTCCTAGTTCCTTGACTTTTGACACAAATAATATTGAGTCTGCAAAGGTTTTTGGTGGCTTCCTGAAACAACCTTCTCAGTCAGTAGTTAGGAGTTTTTTAAATTTGGGGTCTGTCTGTACTGTCCAGTGTGGCAGTTAGATAGCCTCAGGGAAAAGAGCTTTACTCTTGCTAATATTGAGTACTGCTCTGCTCCTTCCCTCCTGCCCCCCAAGCTGATAAAAGAGTGAATTCTGGTAGAGTGGAGTGAGCTTCCAAACAGGCTTTCTTTCAGAAAAGATGTACCTTTATAATAATTTCAGCAGGTCACATGCTCTTCATGCCTCACATCCTAGGCAGATAACTTCTAGCTGCCTTTCCTGAAAATAACATTTTCTTTCACCAATTCAGCGTTAGTTTGCAATAATTTCTACCTTTAGGATAGAGAACTTTCCATCTTATTACTGTTCACTCTTTCACTAACTTCCATTATTTCCTAATCATTCAAATTCTTGACTGATGCATTCTTCTGTAATCTACAAATTGTTAACATTGCTCATTCTAAAAGGTAAGGAAGTGCTTGAGCATAATATGAAATAATGATCCAGTCTTTTAAACTAAAAGCTAAAAATGCTGGACAATGTCCGTTCTTGCATCTTTGTGGGAACTGACTGCTTTCTAATTCTGTTAGATAAAGAGCCAATCCAACCTTGTATAAAGTTCTCTACATTTTTAAGTCTCCCATGAAATGAAATACGATAACACAAATATTGAAGTAGAGGAGGTGATACGTGTCCTGTGAAGCCTTTCTCCTGAGCTACAGCTTGGTAGTGCAGTCTGTAATTTGGTGGTTACTGCTAACTTAAGCCTTTCATTTTGTTGTAAAAGGGCCTGTTTATCAGCTCCCATATGATTTTTCAGCAGCAGAAAGTCCTGTCCTGAACTACATGTAAAGCACTATTTCCAGTACTATGTTACTACGGTGTTTAATAATAGTTATGTTATCTAGCAAATGAGCACCAATAAAAATACATCTATGCTCCTTGAAGCTCACAAATCCCATTGTGTACCTTTTTAATAAAATCCTCAGGACAGTATTGGAGCAGCCTACCTAATGATCCACCTTCCTGACTCTTCCTAACTTAAAGCCTGGAATATAAAAAGTGATTTAAATGCCATAGCATATTTGAAATCAAGCTGTCCTTCCATGGAATACTCATGGCCTGAGGAAAATGTCACAGGGCTGCCTTCTCTTCTCACCAGAAGGTATGTTAAACTTGCAACAGGGTATGTTGTTACAAGTGTAGATGTTTATAATGCAAAGCTATTTCTGAAGCCTAACCTCTTACTCTTTACTCTGAAATGTTCACCTATAGGAGAGAAAAGAGATACTTGAATTCCAGCAGATTTTTCTGAGTCAGTCTGTAGCTATTCAAAGTGGTATGTTGGAATGATGTGATGTGATAAATATAAATTCTCTAGATTATCAAATTGTCACTGAAAAAATAGCTGCAAACAGAAGTGGCTTAAGCCAAAGATGAATTTTTCCTTTTCTGTGTTTGCTGTCATGGTCCGGTCAGGCAGAGAAATATCAGTAGCTCTGTGGGTTAGCTGGTGCAGTAGTTCACACAGGATGAACACTCTTTTTTTGATGATGATTTTTCAGTGAGACTAGTTCTAAAATAAGCAGTGTTCTCATCATACATTTCCATCAGAATGGAAGGCAAATTTAAACAGCTAATTTTAGAATTTCATCTAATGACTAAATCTATAATTTGTATATGCATGATATGCTCAAGCAAGCAAGAGCTTCTCTCTGATGAGTACTCTGTTTTGCACTGCCATTGTTCAGTGCCACTGGCAGTGTCTGAAACAGATCAGCTGCACAGGCACTGCACATGGTTGCCTACACTTCCCCTTTAGGAGTGTCTTTAACTTTGACTCTACCTGTGATTTTGTGCTGTTTCTTTAAAGGTCATATATAGTAGATACTTGTATTATTTACATCAGTGAAATATCCTGATAGTAGGCAGGCAGCGTCTTTGCTCCAAGTACCTGCTCTCTTTCCTTGCATTAATACAGTTTCACTGACTGCTCCTAGCTTAGTAGCAACTAAGGCAATTGGCTTTAAGTACTGTATAAAGTTGTATAATCCTCTGCATCATTTTTCTTTTGCAGGAAGGGTTTCTTACCATGGCCATAACACAGTTTCGACTCTTTAAAGTCTGTACTTGCCTGGCAGCAGTGCTTTCGTTCATTAAAAAGTTAATATGCAGGTAAGCAAGTCTTATTTAATTTGGTGACCTTTTTTTTTTTTCAATTTTTCAATTACAGGTTCTTGTACTTCTGCCCTTCCCCCAGCACCAGCCACCACTTTTACTAGCTCTGATTTTACTAATTGCAAAACAATCAACACAGATGAAAACTAAATTGGGTGAATTCTTTAATTTGCTATTTGTTCAGAGTTCCAAAAGTCTGTGTAGTGTATTTGTGAGTGTATTTTGTTGTATGGTAGCTGAATAAGATTTTATAAACAGCTATGACAGGGTTTTAAAATGGCTTTTAAAACTATTCCATGTCAAACTTGAAGAAAAGCTGTTCTGCACAGTTTTGAAAAGTACTTAGCAAGTGATACTTTGTGTTTCAAGAGATTCAGTTAATGGGAGCATCCACTGTCATCAGTCAGTAGGCTGTCATTACAAATGCAGGCAATTCTCATCCTGTTTGTCAAAAACAGTTGCCTGAGACTTCAGATTCTTCTGCCTATTGAAGATTCTTTCAGAAGTTTGAAGGACCATGATTGAAGTTCAAGTTACGGCTTTTTTTTTCTTTTTAATGATGAAGAATGGTTTATTTTTTACACTCTTTAGGTCATATGTGGTGTTCTTTTGAGTTGTAGACTCATGAATGTTGCAGTGTAGTATTTTGAAGCAATCAAAAAATCCTCAAGAGTGAATGTGGAGTAGCAGAGTTCAATGATACAGTAGTAGAGTACCTGAGGCAATTCTTGGCACTGTGCTGTCAAATGAACTGCTGTGCTTCCTGCCACTTCTGCAGCATGTTGTTTACATAAACAAATACCAATCTAGAGAAATGTATTCTCTTTTTCTGTATGATGACAATTACTTTCCCAGTGAGGATTAAAGTGTATGCAGAATATGTGGTAGACACAAAATAACTGCTTATTTCCACTTCGCCTTTACTTATTCCAAGAATAAGAGGAAGCTCTTGAGTTGTTGGTAACAACTCACTTACAGATCTAGTGAAGCATTAAAAAGATACATTTTAACGCTGCATACAGTGATATAGATGTCAACCTTAGTTCTGTGATTTGAATTCCAAATTAAATTAAAAAAACTTGCTGTTCAAGTTCTGAAAGAAGTCAAAACAGAGTTGATCATAACCTCTGTATTATGTGGATCCCTAATTTCTCAAATTATATTTTTTTATAAGCAGATAATTGTTTTCTAAGTGTAGTGACAGTATTTTCATTCGTTTTTCCAACTTCTAAATGACATATTATCTTGAAATGAACAGGTGAGAAACTGTTCCAGAGTACATTAAGTACTTTATTTGCTTAATAACAATTAGATAAAGAAATGAAAGTTAAGTCTTTCACATAAGCACATAAGCACTGGATCACATTCATTCAGACCACTAACTACAGATGTTTCTTCTGTTCACTGTCATCTGCAAAGTGTAGTTTGATAAATTTTGTTTTCCTGTAATGCACCCCTCAATATAACTATGACTAATTTTCAGCAAATATGATTTAATTAAACGTGCATTTTAATTCAATGGATATGAGCTTAGTACTTACTTAGATTACATAGTTTACATTAGATTTTCATTTGAGCAAGTGCCTGTAGGGATTGTGCAACTTTTTAGGCAGCATAGAGCTTACAAATAGTACTAGTCCTTTCTTTAGTTAAATCTCCTCTTGGTAAATAACAGACTGCCTGAATCCATCTTTCAGGAAATAAAATGTGTAAGTATAAGAAGAGATGACACTTCCATCCATTTAAAATATCTAATTATCTCCAACTGAGAAATCTGAATACTACTTATTACGAAGGAGAAACAAATCCAATCAGTTTTGAGGCACTTGGCATTCAGAGCAGTGATCAGTATCTAATGGTGGCTGTGGAGCAGCTGTTCCTATAAGCATCTTGTTCCCTTCCTAGAGGAAGTGGAGATCTTTAGCCTGCCTTGGTGCTGCTCTGTGTACTGTATTCTTTCTGATGTTGTGTGACAAAAGCTCTTTCCTCCTACCTCCAGCCCTGTTACCATTTTGACTTGATTAATGTTGTTACCAGTCACTTGCATGTCTCAGAGCTCATATAGAGAAAGTCAGTGCAGAAGTGATGGCTTGTAATAGTATTAAATGTAAATAGTATTAAGGATGTGTATGTTGGAGAGGTCTGAAGGAGGTTGTTTCCAAGCTTGGATTTCCTTTAGAGATGTCCAGTAAATCTTGTCAACCAGAAGTCTCTAATGTGTTTGAGGGAACAGTGTTTTCACTTTCCTTTACCCCTAAAATCTCTTGCTTTTCAGACTTGAAGGAACAGTTTATAAAGCGAGTAGAGTTAATTATATAAAACTTGAAAATTTGATTGTAGCACCTGACCTTGTCTAAGGAGGAATATTGGTCTAGAGTAGAAAAAATATATCTAGTCACTCACCAGCATATAGTAGAGGTCATATTACAAGCAATTCAGCTAGTCAGTATGTTCTCTAATACTAAAACTAATGGATAGAAATTAGAAATTGAAGTTTCCCAGTTTCTCATCAGTAGTAAGAAGAAAACATTAAATTTCCCAAGCTACATAAGGTCAATTTCATGACTGCTTTTCTATAGGACCTTACATTGTTTGTGGAAAACCTAAATGTGAGTCTGAATTGCTTTCTGTTGTGTTGTAAGGTGTTAAAATACAATGAATGTCAGCTAAGAATATTTTAATTTTTCTGATCTTTGTACGTCATGAAGTAGATATCTAGATAATTTATTTGCAATGCATTAGTGTTCTTTTCAATTAAAATTATTTTATATGGCTGCTTAAATGCATTGAAATGGTATTCTTTAAGTAGAAGCATGAATTTAATTAAAGCTATTAACTTGCATAATCTTGTATTACCTCTGTTTAGACTTTGAAGAAAAAAGAGCTTCAGAAGGGCTTTCAAATCAAGCAGCTCAGAAAGCTATTTGTTGGACACTGCTTAAAGTTTAAGACAAATAGAAAAATTTCTCATTTTACAGTAGAAATGGCTCTTTTGCAAATATAGATTGTTAGTCCTTGCTTCATAAGCACTGACAGTCTAAAAATTGTGACTGAATTATGCAGATGAGTTAGCCCATTTTCATGTTTCTTAGAAGTATTTCTCTATTTCACTGCAATTAGAAAAGTAAATTGCACTTTGATATTCTTGTGAAAACAACTTTGAATTCATGATGAAATTCCTTTGCTTAGCTGACTTTTAGTGACAGTAGTTAATACAAAGGTAATTGAAGCACTGAATGTTTTAGCCATGACTATTTTCAGTAGTGCTGTTCTCAGACTTCCTTTTTTGTTTTTTTTAAACTTAGTGCTCATGTTTTCAGAGCTTGGAGGAATCCTACATTTTTTTTTCAGGTCTGGAAGAGGGCGAAAGTTAAGTGGAGACCAAATAACTTTGCCAACCACAGTGGATTATTCATCTGTTCCTAAGCAGGTAAATGTTAAAGTGGTGGGTGACATAATCCCATAACAGGGTGATTATAGAAGTCCTACAATATTGAATTGGTATATATCCAAGAAATATATCATATAATGTGATATATGTGATACAGTATTAAGTATATATTTTAGCAAGTTATAAAAAGACAAGATTTTACCTGCAGATAATATTAATTTGTACCATATTCTTATATTCAGCCTGAAGTAGAAGACTGGTCTTCATGGGATGAAGATGCACCTACAAGTGTGAAGATTGAAGGTGGCAATGGTAATGTGGCTGCTCAGCAAAATTCTTTGGAACAAATGGAACCTGATTATTTCAAAGATATGGCACCAACTATAAGAAAAACTCAAAAAGTAAGTATTACATTTTCAACTGTACTTATGGAGGGTTTTCCTTGCTTTAAAATAAAAGCAAGTAAATTGGCAACTTACAGAAGGTGCTGTTGGTAAATGAGAATAGATGTTGGTGTGTAGTTTATCATGTTTAATTTTAAGACCTTTGAGATCTTAACAGTTGTGATGCTATCAGATGTTTACATACTTAGTCTTCATGTTATTGGAAACTTATGAATAGTTTCATACTCTAAAAGTTCTTGGAAGTATAATGGGAGAACCCTCTAGTCATTTGTGCTCATATCCTTATTTGAACAAAGACATTCAATGTCTTGCTCTATTGAAGTCTGAGGGAGCAGCCCTGCTGTTTCAGAAAACAATGGTTAATTGTTTCACCAAGTTATATTGGGGAGGCTGGAATTAGGGAACTGATTTCAAAATAGCTTGTTCTAAAGATATCCATTTTAACTGGAGACAAGACAGGAGGGCATCTCTACAGGAGCATCAAGGTTGTAAATAAATGCTGATTAAAATCTGGTGATTGCAGGTTTTGTTTCTATTTGTGAATCTTTCAGCTGGGTATTTGCAGATCTTTGAGTCAATTGGAAGAACCTCACAAGTACTGGAATAGGTTACCAGAGAAGTTGTACAGCCTCCATCTCTAGAAGCTTTTAAGCCCCACGTGGAAAAGCCCTAAGTGCTTTCATCAGCCTTAAAGTGACAGTGGTTTGAGGAGGAGATTGGATTACAAACCTCCTGAGGCCCCTTCAAACCTGAATCTTCCTGTGGTCCTATGAACTGGAGGTGATCCTGGTGACAGCTTTCTGTACATTCAGAATCTTCTAGGAATTTTGCTGTCCCAAAATCTGAGGAGTAGAAGAGGGCTAGGGAGAGGTAGATTTCTTCTTTATATCTACTGACATTTTTTGCCTCATAGAATGCACTTCAGGTTCAGAACAAAACTGAGGAAGAGTCCATGCTAAACACTGGGCTTATATTAAATATCTCTCTAGGGATGACTGCAGGCACTGTAAAAAACATCCCTGTTAACTTGGCCAAATTACCACCATTCAGTATGAATTTATGTTTGTTTCCACTGAATGTCTCAATATAAAGCTGAGTTTTGAGGTACAGTCTACTCATGTTTTCACTCATTTATACTGATCTATGTGGAAATAGAACCTCAGTTAAATAACAATATATCATTGTTCAATAAAACAATAAGATTGTCTAGTCCTGTGTCCTTTCTTGGATTGGTACAAGCATACAGGCAGTGGAACTGTGGATCTGCCTCATTGGGAAGCAGAAGAGGCTCGAAGTAGGCTAAACAAAGTTCCTGACTTGTGCTCAAGACAAGTGAAAAGGATATGTGATCTTGGCAACTGTTTTGGGAAAAGCACTGCTTTTCAGCCAAACCAGTACAGAGCTTACTAGTAAATGTTGACAGAAAATTTGCAGCTATTAAAACTGCACAGTTATTGAGTAGTTGAGAGAGCTGACATTACAGTGCAGTACAACTGTGCAGACAGCACTGTCCTCAAAAGTAGTGGCTTAAAGTGACCTGTCACAGAAGCAGGATTTCTTCAAGCAATATATCACATAATTGGTAGCTTTTGTGAGGACTGGGAGATGTGGCTGTTTGATTTGGCTGTTTGATTTGTGATTCTTTGTGCCCATTCTCTGTCTTGATACAGTCACAGGTTTCTATGTGACTAAAGAATACGCTAGTCGGGGGAGGAGGAGTTCTTGTCTTTTGTATTTATCTTTCACTTACAAGTTCATTTTGCTGTGCAGCTTTAAGAACCTCCCAGGTTTAAGACATAGTGAGGTGTTGTGTTAGCTGAACCTTCATGGGCACAGAGTTATATGACCAAGGAATCTCTGCAGGGCTTTAATCTACCACTTTTTTGTTCCTTTTTTTGAATATTTTCAGATAGTTATTAAAAAACGAGAGCCTTTAAATTTTGGGATTCCAGAGGGAAACACAGGATTCTCTAGCCGATTAGCAGCCACACAAGATATTCCTTTTATTCACCAATCTGTAAGTACACTTTAAGTATTGATCTTGTATTTGTCAGTTAAATGATATTCTCTAGGGGAAGGAATAGGCTGCCTAAGGTGTGCATTGCGGGAAGTAATTGGAATAGTTGGGAATGTAAGTTGTTTTAAAATTGAGTGAAGAATGAAGTAGTCCAATATGTTCTGCTGAGAAACTTGACAGATCAGTGATAAAAAGGTAAGAAGCTTCCATATACTTATGGGCTTGCAAATCTGCTAAAGCAATGAACTGGAAGTTTTGGATTTTACTCAGTAAGTTACTAACAAAAGCGTAGAAGGCTTTTTTGAAAACCTCTAAGTTACCTTTGCTCTGTTGTTTTGGACCCATTTTTAACCTTCTGCTTCTCCCTTCCTTTTTGTGTAGGGATTGTAATGTAGCAGTCTCCTAATTTTTACTCCTTAGCCTTTGAAAAATTTGTCTAGTTGCCTAATGACCTGGCTAGTTAGCAGGAGATGCTCTCCCTCCCTTGCCCTTTGCCTTTTTTAACAGTGTTTCTCTTTTGATAAACGTTGTGCACAAAAGGGTACAGGCAGGAAGCAGTACAGAATGGTCATACCACCTCCTTGCACTGTCCTTTATGAAAATAGTTGAGGAAAGGACTTTTAGTGAGTAAAAGTGTCACTCAGCTGATACTGGACATAAAAACAAGTGGATGTATGTGTTGGTTTATCCATGCAACTGCCAGAAATCTTTTTACATTATCTTCTCATTTAATCTGCTCAATCTGTCTTCCTCTTGCTAAAAATGCACTCCACTACTTCCTTCCTGTCTTTGTCCAAAAAACCCTTTGACAACTGAAAAAACTCAGTGTTATAGCAGGAAAAAAAGCATGGACCATAAGATGAGAAGCACTGCCATACATCAAATATTTCTGTAAGTCTGAAGCATTAAGGTTAAAAATATGTTAAGGAAACTTTGCTGTCATCCAGGAGCCACTCTGGCAGTCACACACCAGTGTTTTATTTAATTTTCCATGTGCTTAGAACTTCTCTTTGTTTCAGCCTGAACTGGGAGACCTGGATACTTGGCAAGAAAATACAAATGCCTGGGAAGAAGAGGAAGATGCTGCTTGGCAGGCAGAAGAAGTTCTTAGGTAACTGAAATTAATATAAAACTATGTAAAGGTTTTATATGTAAAAGAATCACATTTGTTTATTTGACACCTTCCTGGTGAGTGCCAAGAATTCTTAAACTCCTCTTAAGACAAATTATTTTTATGCACCTAATATCTGTGTAACTGGTACTCACCAGAAGACATTTTGGATCTAATTAATTTAATAAATGAGATAGTAGAGGACATCTGAAAATCACTGGAACAACACAATAACACATGCACATGCAGGTGCTAAAAAAAAGGCCCTCCACCAATCCCAACAATTTATTATGTTCAGATGACATTACTTGATTAGGTAAAATACCACTTGATGTCCTTCTAAAAAGTATCACAACCATGTGCTTAAGGTAAAAATAGTTCAGGTATAGATAGAAGGTGAAGTGATAACTATGTTCTTGGAATCCCTGTAGGAGCTAGGCTTTTCTAATTTAACTAAACTAGCTGAACATAAAATCAAAGTCTTGCACAAAGTTAGTGTGAATGCTTCAGCTGTTCAGTTTGTGTTCTTCTTTCCTTTAAGGGGTATGGAGAGTAAAGGGATGCAAATTAAGTTTAAGTTAATCATACTCAATGATTTGAACTGGTAGTGACTTACAGTTGTATCAAACTTTACTGCTTACTACATAGTCAGGTAACCAGCCTCAGATAGCTTTAGCTTCCTAGACTGTTGTAATTCTACTCACTTAATTACAAGCGCATGGCTTCTGTGGTCCACTAGTGAAATAAAGACATGATATAGTCAAAAGTCATTCTAAGGAAAATAGGGATTGTGGGGAAAAGAGGAATCTGATCAAGTGTTTATTTTAATGTTTTGAAAAATTTACATTTTCAATCTGTGGAATAAGACAATAGGAAAGTTATCAGTTCATTTTTCAATGTGCTAACCATAATTAGAATTTATTCAATTTATTATCTCTGTCAGTCTTGCTTTGCGGAAGCTTAACATGTGAAAATAGGGTTGTAATGTAAATATTTTTGTAAACTTTATGTGGTATTGGTGTGTACATTCTGATCAATACATTGCTGATCTTTTTTTTTTTCCTTTATTTTTTAAACTTATTATTGTTTCAGGTTTTGTACTGAAGTACAAGCTTTCTGATATGAAAAGTGTGCTTTTGGGCTCTTTTGGTTCCACAGATAGTCCTTTTTCCTGTAAAGAATATCAATAGACTCAGTAAGATCTTTAATAGCTATGGTGCAGTGAAAATACTCTTTTTTTGTTTGTTTGTTTGTTTGTTTTTTTATGGAGAAATGAAACAGCTACTTTTGCTACTGCAGACACTGCATTGTATTTACTTAACCCTTGCCACATTCCATTACAGATGGTTTGTCATAAGTGAATTAAAAATTTCCTGGTGTGTGTATATGCCAGTTTATTCTTGGAGTGTAAAATCTGTGCAGTGAATATTTCCAGGATGGGCTAAGTTATATTGTTTGCCAACTGTCAGGTTCATACTCTAGAATACTTAGGAAGAGCAACCTTTTACATGGTGAGAGCAGTGGGGTTTCCCAAAAAGCTTTAATTTTTCAAAGTGTCATAATATTTGGTTGAACCTATCCTAAAGATTTCAGCCTACCATCTTTAGTTGAAAGGGTTCAACTCAAATGGTTACTTCTCATAGGATTTCTTTTTGGCCTCACTAAAAACTATCAAACTGCAGTTGTTATAGAAGGGATGTGTGTCTAAATACTTGCAGCAGATAAAATATGATTAGAACTCCAGATGTCTATGGCTTACTGCTTGTCCAGCTATGGCTGGCTACCTCTATACAGCTGGTCATTATGTAAGCTGTATCCCAGCTGGGTGAAGTAAAACCTTTGTTTTATTCATGACACAGAAATAACAATGTTTATCTGTAAATGAGTCAAGTGCTGGCTGACTTTTAGCAACGTTGATAAAGAAATCCCGACTGGGTTTAGTTTCTCTTGCAGTAGACATCACCGGTGTTTTTAACATCTGACATTTAACATAAAACTTAAACAAAACATTTAACATAAAACTGGTCAGGCCTGACTCTGTTTTCAACAGAGTGTAGTAAGGAAGTGCTATGGAGTCTCTTCTTAATGATAGAAGTCTGCATCTTTATCTGCAAAGTGATCTGAAGATCCTGTGGCCACTGTGGTGACTTAGTGCATAAGTGTAACACTTGAAAGAAGCTTGTATAATATTTCAGACTGCCAAATAGAGGACAGTCCTCTAATTTTCCAGAGTGTTAATGCTGACTGTACTCCAGTGGTGCTTTTGGAGAATGAAATGAGTGTGCAGAAAATGTGAGGGTCTCCCTTAGCCTGCTGTGTCTGGTAGCTGTGGGTGCCTAGTAAGACCAGAATAATTTTTGTGTAGTAATGGAGTGCTGATCACTTATGCAGAAGTGGGCTGTGTCCTACTACCTAGCAGTGAAGACTATCCCTGTGGCCTCTCTGGTGAGTTTATGCGTAAGCATAACAGTTGAAATGAGCACATATAGTAAGTCAAATGCTCCCTGGAATTAAGGCATGCAGAAAGTGCTGAAGAGTAGGCTATCAGAGCATGAGAAGTTCCTGTAGTCTCTTTTTTCCCTATTTTCCACAGGTTCTAGGCTGGAATATACTGAAATTTTCCAGTCAGTGGTGAATTGGTATAGTGGATGACAAACTGCATTTTCAGTTAACTTGAGTTAGTTGGAACTGAGTTTCTTCTGCAAATTTTAGATACCTATCTACAACTTCAGACTTTATATTACCAACGAAGTTTTTATCCCAGTGGAAGCAGTTGAACTCACACATTTTTAGTTTATAACAGCTACTTGTATTTTTGTTGGCCAGTTGCTGTGTCTGAGGCAAGTTGAAGGTCTCTCTGGGCAGAACTGAGTGCAGGTTCCCAGACGGTAGAGGGCGTGAAACCACTGCTGTGCACAGGAGCTCTGTGTCCTGTGGGTCATCCCAGGGAAAGAAACAGGAGCTGCCACGATCCCTCCCTTCAGAACTGCTCGTGAACAGCAGCATTAACAACATGTGGCCTTTTGGAGCTTTACTGTCTCTGTGTATTGGCTGATGAAGAAGCACAGCACCTCTTCCCTTCTGCATCAGTTCAGATACGTGGGAAATACAAAAATGTGCCACTGTAATGTGGCAAATATTATTACTCTGCATATTGCTGCACTGACAGCTCTGTCAGCTGTCAGGTAGAATGTACAGTAATGGGTGACAAACTCAAAAATATCCCTAAACCAGCAAAAACCCAAAACTTTTGAGCTGCTGCTGAAAGTATTAGATAGATTTTTAGTTTTTCCTCTAGGCCTTGCAACTGTCTGTACTCTCACTGATTCATTTACTCTGAATCTTTGAGAAGCTAGTGGCTTTTAAATTGCTGAATAATTGAACAAATATTACTGCCTAAAGCTAGATTGGATTGGGTTGGATATTATGAAAAAGTTCTTCACCTGGAGTGTGGTCACTGGAACAGGCTCATCAGGGAAGTGGTCACAGCACCAAGCCTGCCAGAATTGTTTGAAGAATACTCTGAGGCACATGATGTGATTCATGGGGATGGTCCTGTGTAGGCCAGGAGTTGGACTTTGATGATCCTTGTGGGTTCCAACTCAGAATATTCTACAATTCTAGATTAATCTGAAAAAAGGCACAGTAAAAGAAGGACTGTTCTGAGCCTAATGACAATAGGCTGATGCTCTGCTATTAGTTATAATAACCTATGTATTGACAAGAACTTAAAGTATGACCATCCTGAAAATTGAGTGTGTGTTATTTAGCAATTCATGTTCTCTTTAATTACAGACAACAGAAGATAGCGGAAAGGGAAAAAAGAGCAGCAGAACAACAGCGAAAGAAAATGGAGAAAGAGGCACAAAGGCTAATGAAGAAGGAACAAAACAAAATTGGTGTAAAACTGTCCTAACAGAAGCCACACAGCAATGGCAGTGCCAGTAAAAAGAGAATTTCAGCTCCACAAGATACATATTGGTATTGATTTAACTATTTATAGGACTTCAACACACTGCTTGGTTTCAGTGCATTCTTCAGATCATCTTGGAAGCCAGGATTTTCCCAAAACATCTTGAACTACTAGTATGTAGTTCTTAAAGAAGAAAAGCCCTACAGAAAATCATGCCTTGATGGAATGTTTCCTGCAATAGTTCTTTTCCAGCACCCTTCTTTGCAGCAAGTGATTGACAAGGATGTTGATTGAAAAACACTCTAAATGAACAGCTCAAGCCTAGGGAAAAGAATGTAAATATTGAGTGGTGGGAAATCTACCTGTATTGTCTGTGCTTACCTGAAACATGTAATTAAACAGTTTTAAAGAACCTTTTGTTTCCTGCCTGATAAAAAAGTCTGCTTTTGCTCTTTTATGAAAGTATTTGTAAACACTTGAAAGTTCTCCATGGGAGATCATACTGTGTAGAAGAAAATAACTTATTATGGATGACCTGCAAGTCAAAATGTGCTCCTGGTAGGTTATGCAGGTGAACACTGAAAGTGGATTTCTTCTCCCTTTGTCACTTGCAGCTTCCTATGCTCCTGTTTCACTTGACACTGCATTGACTGCCAGCAGTGGCATCACTACACAGGAGTGGTGCAGCCTACAAAGGGTTGATGTGAATGTAAGGGAGCATTTTAGTCATTTACTTGTATTGGTAAATTTGTATTTCTAGCAGAAATTCTTATACTTTCTAGAGATAGGAATCCTCACACCTTATAGTTGTTGCATAGTTGGCGTAATTGAGAAGAAAAATTGTGTCTTCTGCTAATAAAGCTAGTGTGAAAATTCTCAGTTCAGTTACAAGCACTTTTCAAACTCCATTTTTTGCACACTTTCTGTATGTGTTTACTTTGTAATTCCCCTGGTGAAGCATGAATGGTGTATGTGCAGTAGAAGGCAACAGTGCTTTAATGAAAAAGTCAATGTTTGCTGGAAAGAGATAGATGGGAGGGGTTGGGGTCTATGTGCTTCATCCAGCCCAGTGCTTCAGTGAATGCTTTTCCTAGGTTCTGTTGTGTGGGTGTGATTATCCCTGATTTGTGGGTTGCATGGATTTCTTACCTGATGACAGGTGAGTTACATCAGCACATTTTGCACTCGAGACTTGTTTCCTGTTCATCCAGGGACAGCACAGGAAGTGTCAGTTGTAAGAGAATGGGAAGGGGAGGAGGGGGCATGTGACTAGATCTTTCCTGCCTACAAAAATAGAATTTGTAACTAAGTTCTACTAAGTTCTGGCACAAATTTTGCTTAGAGTATAAGTAATTGAGAAAACAACATAGTAAGAATTCATTTTAATGGCTTTACACTCCCAGAGAAAAGTTTTTAAAAAATGTTTAGTATACTTGTCATATAGGTTCAAATCTTGCACAGGTCAAATGATGTGACAGCAATTTTCAGATGTTTAATTTTGAAATATATTTTGAAGCCAACAATGCCATGTGTGATTTCTGCACAAGTCTTCTGTCTGGAGTAGAACAGATTATTTCAAGTGCAGACTTCACTGCAGTATGGCAAGCAAATCTGTTCCTACTACACCTCCAAAGTATTTGACAAGGGATGGGAGATGAGAAAGTTTATGAATAAATTTTAATAACAATCTGTGTTTGTTCTTTTAACAGCACTCAAGAAGCAAGGAGGTACCAGTCACAATTCTTTAACCACAGGGCAAGGAAACTGGCTATCTGCTGCCTGTTTAATGTGAAATCATTGGAAGCTATGTCTCATTTTCTAGAAAATTAGTGATTACTGTTGCTATTTTTGAGACAATATAAAGTAGATGTAAATCAATACTATTTATTAAAAATAGCAACAGGTGGGCGAGTTACTAAGTTGCAAATAAAACCCCTTAAGTACATCATGAAAGCACATTTGACTATTGAGCCTTCAGCCATTTTAAAAACCCTTGAGTTCTGCCACTGCTTGGGACTCTTCCTGCATTGCTTTTCCCTCCTCTCCTGCTGTGTACTGCTTTGCTGTTCTTCCATCTACCTGCTAAATTTGAGCACAGCTGCTCTAGAGATTCCTCCCATCTCTGCTCTGTGTTGACATGGTGCCAGTAGGGAGGACTCTGCTCTTGGAGGAAGTCTCTTGCATGGTGATAACCCATGCATTAGTATCAGTTTTGTCTTTCTCCTGTGGTCTCTTCTTTCCTCCTTCCTAAATACTGATTTTTTATCCTTGATAAATGTGAAAACACTTTTGCTAAGCTTACTGAGGCTGCTGCTGATACTATTTTTTCCATTGGTTTGAGTTTTCTGAAGGTCCTGTACACCCCTTTATGTATTTCTTGTCTTTCCTTTCTACTGCCATATGCTCCTCCTTTTCTCATTCATATTTTAGTTGTTGGCTATGGTTTTTTTTTCTTTCTTGGCTGAAAGCTGGACTTGATTGCTTTCACTGATATTCTTGACTGTGGAGGATTGACCTGCCAGGATGACTGAAAAATCCTTTCCTTGACTGTGCTGTAGTTGTTTGTGCTTGCCAGGTCCTGTGCTCATTTGTCTGAAGGGATTTGGATTGAAATATTCACTTATATAGGGCATATGTAAAACTGCTAAATAAGTTTCAGGAGTTTGGGATTAAAGAGAGTTGATTTGCAGGGAAAGGAAGGAGAAATGTGTAATTACAAGTTGGGAACAGCCTTGTGAAAAGGACATAAGGAAGGGTGAAGAGTCAACAAGCAGAAATTGATGCACAGCAACTTCCACCTCAACACGAGGAACAACTTCCTTACTTGAGTAAGCACTGGAACAGATTGCTCAGAGAGGTTGTAGTCTCCCCACCCCTAAAGATACTTAAGAAGTGCCTGGATGCAATTCTGTGCCATGTGCTCCCTGCTTGAGAAGGGAGGTTTGACCAGATGACCAATTGTGGTGCCTTCCAACCTGATGCATTCTGTGATTCTGTGAAGGATAGAGATGAATCTCTAGTGGGAAGGGAGTTAAATGCCTGAGCCTCAACATTTTCAGCAACAGGGTATGTTGGGTACCTCTTAAACTGAATATGAAAGAAAGGCTTTTTTTGTCCCTGGATTAGAAATAAAATGTATAGTGGGATTATGAGCATGCATCCCCTCAGCCCAGGAAGAAGCTGATTTGGTTCCTATGCCCTAAGCCCGAATTCAAGTGTTCACTCTTCTATCTATAGTGTATGAGCTGCATGTCCTCCTCACCTGCCTGTTTTGAGATAAGACTTCCCAGTGAGGTAGAGGTGTGGGTATGAGCATTTTCTAAATTTAGAAAAAAAAAGGTGAGAGTTTCTGTTGAACTGTTTGGAGGCTGATGTGTACATCACCAGTGAGATATGACTAAGACTTAAGTGTAATATTAGAGGGAAAAAAGTGAACTTGCTATGTTTGGAGCAAAAACTGGCATATCCTCTATGAATTGTGAAACAAAGACCAAAGTCTGGGACTGGTGCATTATAGTAATTCAGGTGTGGTCTTACAAAGGATACCTTGAGCTATGTCCTTGCAGTGTGGAGGAGGAAAGGTGGAGGCTTAGAAGTGAGCTGCATTTTAGATAGAGATCACAGCAAAGGCTTTTTTATCAGGAATGTGATTGGAATGCTGTCACTTCTTGATGAGCATAGCAGTTAAATATTGTAGGAGACTTGAACTGACTGAAGAATCTTAAGGGCGGAAAGAAACTTTGACATTGTTCTGGTTATGAGATCTGCCTATTGGCATCTTTAATGTAAGTGTAGTTTTTTGCCGCTTTGTTGCCTCTTGCTGCAAAAACTCCCCACTAAGTCAACAGTGAATGCATCTAGAACGGAAGATCACTTTTTCTTCTAAATTATGGTGCATTTCAGTGTCACTCAAAGATCACTTAAACAATAATGGCTGTGAAAGAAAAATCCAACATTGTAATGAAGTTGGTAACATTAGGTATAAAATACTGCTGTCCTGGCTCTGCACAGACATTTTGATGTAGGAATAAAATTTTCTGTAATGTGTTTCAGTCCCAAGAAGAGATATTCAGGAATTATGAAAGTCCATGGTTGTGTAAAATTTATATTGATAATATCTCCAACTGGTAATGTTGGCCCTGGTGTCCCTGTAATGTAAAAGCTTTTGAAAGTGACATTTGAGTAATATGCAGTGCAGCAGTGTCACAAGGCAAGCCAGATGGCTGCAGGCACCCAAGAAGGTGGGAGAGCATGGAAGACAAAGTTATGGCAATGTAAGCAAAATGCTCTCATGTCCATCTCTGTTAGATGGGGATTATATTACTTCAAATGATATGTTAGAGTTCTCTTCCTTAATGTAATGCTTAATGAAGCTTCTAGAATCTCTGCTGCAAACAAAAAATAATTCACCACTCAGGCACCACAGGGACATGAAAGGTGTGCAAGTCGCCTCTGTAAGCATCAGTATCACCCTGTTGAGTGTTGCAAAAGCTTCCCACACATGGCCAATATATTCCTTTGTGGAGTACTCGTAACTTCCTTCCCAAAAGCTGCAGAGCAATACATGGCACTGTTAGGTTTCCCTGGATTCCTTCTTCTCTGGGTCACACAAGGAAATACTACACTTGTTTTGCTGAAGGGGAAAACAGGAGGCCAGTGATGTTTAAATGGCCAGAGGTGGGGTTGAAAGCTTGGGTGGAGCCAGACAAACCCCACTGTTTTGCCTATTGGGTAGCATTGAGTTTTGGACATGGAGAATTAATGTTTTGATGGTCACAGTGTGCATGCACACTGAGACCACATGACTGTCAGATGGGTAAAATGCCAGAAAGACTGGTATTGTTCTGGGATTGCAGTGCTGAGGAGTTCCAGGTTTCCAGATGATTGCAGTGGGTGAAAGATTAGGTCACTTGCATCTGTGAAGCCAGCGTGAGGCAGCAGAGTGGGTTGTGTGTGCAACTGCAGCCCTGCTGGAGCCTTTAATCAGCCTGGTGAGTGCTTACACTTGGAACTGTAGTCAGGTTTTCTCAGTCTAATTCTGATCTCCTTGAATAGTACCTGATACAGTACCTCCCCTAGCTCAGCCTGTACTGACAGCTCAGCTAGAATGGGGTACTTTTTTATACCTTTCTGAAGTAAAACACTCACACGTTTGACATATCTATCATGCTTTACTGAACTTGTGATTATAAAGGTAATTTACAATAAAGCAATTAAATAAACAATAAGTTAAAACACAATACATTTATACATAGTATTTCAAAGGGCTCAAAAGAATATCTGGTTCCAATACATAAAGACTTTAAAACAACATTAAGAACCAAAGTGTATCCACGCCTATACTTATCATTGTAACAAGTGTTAAGACTCCCAATGATGTACATTTTTGGTTACAGTTCCTGTATACGCACAAGACCAGTGAAATGCTCAAGCAATTGCACAATTGAGAAGAGCACTACATGAGACAGGCACAAACAATGTGCTGGAAGCTGCCTGGGGAACACGGGTTTTATCTCTAAATTGAATTGACACTTGGGACAACAAATGGAAAGCGCTAGCATGCTTTCTGGAGCACAGGTGTGATACCCTAAGGGAAGGTTAGTGCTGCCTAGAGAAATACCCCACCTTTTTCCAGCCACTTGTTCCTTGTGCATCTTGCACTATCCTTGAGCCAGTGCCAAGTACTTGTACATTTGCTCAGTGAACCATCCAGGGAGAGTGACGACTTAATCCTGGCTCAGCAGTGGAACATGAAAGAGCACTAGGCTTGAATTCCTATTTCTCTGGTTAGGTTCACTGTGCAGATGTGCTGGCACCAGAAAGTCACCAGCACAGGGGAGGGACATGATGCCTGGGAGCAGGGGGACTATTTCCGTAAG